TTGTTCTGAAGTTGAGTAGCAAAGTTTTTTTTTTTTTTTCTTTTCTTTTTTTTTGAGAGGCAGACAGATTCTGTCTACTGGTTCACTCCCCAAATGCCCTCAACACCTGGGGCTGAGCTGAAACAGGTGCCAAGAGCTGGGAATGCAGTACAGGTGTCCTATGTGGGTGATAGGAAACTGTTTACTTGAACCATTACTTGCTGCCTCCTAGGGTGCACATAAGTAGGAAGCTGACGCCAGGAGCTGGAGCCAGGAATGGAACCCATGTACCCATGTGTGTCAGACACTAGGTAAATACCCATTGTGAATATTGGGCTTAGTCTTTAATGATCTGCCAGTTTTCCTCCCCAGGAGAAGAGGGCCATGGTAGCTATTTGGTAACTTTTAGTTTCTTTGACAATTACTAGTCTCTCTTGGATTTTTACCTCCTCTGATGCAAATTTTAGTCATATATATATATATATATATATATTTTTACTATAGAATTATCCATTTCTTCTGAGTTTCACATGAATTTTCATAGTTTTCCAAGTACTCACATATTTTTGTTTTATGAATCTGTGTAGCACTCTGCATCTCTAGTTTTATATAAATACATGGTCCTTTTTTCTTATGTTTTCTGGTTGAATTTTCTGTTGTTAGAGAATCAACTCTTACAGCATTGTTATTACTGCATTTCATTTTCTAACTCATTAATATGTGCTGTTTATTTTTCTCCTGAATTTTCTTTTTCTTTCATTTTGATTATAGCTATTGACTTCTCAAATGGAATTGGTTTCTTTTAGTTCCTTGCTCTTTAGTTTTGAGTTTAGATTTTCCTGTGAGCCCAGTTACAGGGTTTTGTGAACTTGCATAGATTTTGATGTGTTACGTTTTCATATGCTTGTTTTAAAGCAGTATACTCTTTGTTTGCCTTGAGACTTTCTCTTTCACTCAGTAGGTATCTAACGCTGTGTTGGACATTTGAGTTAATTCTTACCCTTTTCTGTTGTTGTTTTTCCTATTTAGTTTATTGTGTGTGGCTAATGAGGGAAGTCGTTCTGATGTTCAGGTTTTCATTGTAGAGGCTATGATACGGATGTGGCTTTCGTTTTGGAAGCATGGGCCTCAGGGCCGGTGTTTGGAGATGATGGGGACCCCTCAGGGGTGCTTAGTAGAAAATGATTATCTTTGTGGGCACTGCACTTGGGAGGAACCAGTGCAGTTTGGGAACAGTTTAACTATTGTGAGAAGATTGATATAAAAAGAGTGGGCCTGGCTGCTCAACTCCTGGCTTCCTGTCTGCTGATGTGATCTGGGCCTCTCCTACAAGCGTCCACTGTGGTACCGTGGTGTGACACAGCCAGCACCATGTTGTCTGGAGGTCTCAGCCTCCAAAGCTCAACCAGACCAGCCTCTTTTCTTTATAAAGTATCTTTACAAAGTCTCCCAGGTATTTCATTACAAGAAGCAAACTAACATATTGTCACGTTTAGTCATTAGTCTGTAAGTTCTAAAAAGGCTCTGTGTTCTCAGTTTTCTGGGTATAGGATCCATATGTCTTGTGTATGAGTTATGTAACTTAAACCTGCTTTATTTTTCACTTTTCTTAAGTTGAAAGAGACATTTTATTGCTATTCCATTTTGTGTGTAAATATTTTTGTAAATTGTTACCTTCATTGTGGATTACGCCTTTTTTTTAAGATTTATTTATTTATTTGAAAGAATTATGCGAGAGAGGAGAAGCAGAGAGAGAGAGAGAGAGAGAGGTCTTTCATCTGATGGTTCACTCCCCAATTGGCCACAACGGCCGGAGCTGCACCGATCTGGAGCCAGGAGCTTCCCCCGCGCCTCCCACGCAGGTGCAGGGACCTAAGGACTTGGGCCATCTTGTACTGCTTTCCCAGGCCATAGCAGAGAGCTGGATTGGGAGTGGAGCAGCCAGTTATCGAACCAGCGGCCATATGGGATACCGGCGTTTCAGGCCAGGGCGTTAACCTGCTGCGCCACAGCGCTGGCCCCCATTACGCCTTTTATATAAAGGCAGTGGCACCAACTTTCATCATGTATCCCTTTGTATTTTGTTTGATAGTTTTCTCTGAGTATAATACCATCTCCTGTTATTACTCTAGTTTTCTTATTGCTAGCATATAGCTTTTCCTATACTTTTCTGTTGTGATCTTCAAAATTATTCAGGATTGATAATTGTGTGTTAGTGGAAAGACTTCATTAGCTAGGGAGTCATGTAGTTCAAGTATTTAATATTAAACCGAAACAAGTAAATAATACACCTTAATTCCTAAATGAAGGACTAATGTATTTTCCTTATTCATTGAGCTATTAGCCTTATATAATGCATTGTTTAGGATTTTTAGTTTAGCACTTTTTAAAAGTAAAATTAAAAAATAATCACATTTGCAAAGCAGTCTTTCTGCAAAGGCCTCGTTTTAAAAAAATAATGTTTTCCCCGTAGAGTTAGAAACGTGCCAGGGGATTCCAATTCAGTCCCATCAAGGTGACATGCACCAATACCATCTCACTAGTCCAAGTATCATTTTCACTTCATAATTGATTATAATGATAGGATTAAGAGTCAAAGGGATCACATAAACAAGACTAGTGTCTGCTAATACTAACTGATAGAATTAAAAAGGAGAGAACGATCCAACGTGGGAAGTGGGATACACAGCAGACCCATAGAATGGCAGATGTCCTAAACAGCACTCTGGCCTCAGAATCAGCCCTTAAGGCATTCAGATCTGGCTAAAATGCCCATGAGAGTATTTCAGGCATGGAAAGACAAGACACTCTGGCAAAAAAAAAAAAAAAAAAAAAAAAAAAAAAAAACCAAAACAAAACAAAACAAAAAAAACACCTAAATGCAAGATCTCTGTGAGTGAGATCCCAGCGGAAAGAACAGGCCATCAAAGAAGGAAGTACCTTTCTCTGAAGGGAGGAGAGAACTTCCACTTTGACTATGGCCTTGTCTAAATAAGATCAGAGTCAGCGAACTCAAAAGGCTTCCATAGCCTTGGCAACTCATGACAAGAGCCTAGGGGGATTACTGACACCATAAACAAGAGTGTCAATTTGTTAAGTCAACAACAGGAGTCACTGTGCATTTACTCCTCATGTAGGTTCTCTGTCCTTAATGTGTTGTACTATGTAAATTAGCGATATAACTAGTACGAATCCACCACATGAGACTTTGTTTCTGTGTGGGTGCAAACTGTTGAAATCTTTACTTAATATATGCTAAATTGATCTTCTGTATATAAAGATAATTGAAAATGAATCTTGATGTGAATGGAAGGGGAGAGGGGAAGGTTGCGGGTGGGAGGGAAGTTATGGGGGGGGGAAACCACTGTAATCCAAAAGCTGTACTTTGGAAGTTTATATTTATTAAATAAAAGTTAAAAAAAAAATAATGTTTTCCTTGGGGTGGGTGTTGTGGCACAATGGTTAGACACCCACATCTTATATCGGAGTGTCTACTCCAAGTCCCAGCTCTACTTTGATGTAACTTCCTGCTAATGTACACCCCAGGAAGCAGCAAATGATGGCTTAAACATATGGGTCCCTGCCACCCACATGGGAGACCTGTGTGGAGTTCTAGACACCTGATTTGCTCCTGACCCAGCCCTACTGTTAGAAGCATTTGGGAACTAAACCAGCAAATGGAAGATTTCATTCTCTGTGCTCTGCCTTTCAAATAATTTTTTTAAAGATTTATTTTATTTATTTTAAAGAGTTACAGAGAGAGGTAGAGACAGAGAGAAAGGTCTTCCATCTGCTGGTTCACTCCCCAGATGACCACAACACTGGAGCTGTGCCAATCCAAAGCCAGGAGCCAGTAGCTTCTTCTGGGTCTCCCCTGCGGGTACAGGGGCCCAAGGGCTTGGGCCATCTTCTACTGCTTTCCCAGGCCATAGCAGAGAGCTGGATCGGAAGTGGAACAGCTAGGACTAGAACCAGCACCCGTATGGGATGCCAGCGCTTCAGGCCACGGCTTTAACCCGCTGTACCACAGTGCCAGCTCCTAAAATAAATTTTAAAAATTTATTTAAAAACATGTAAAGAAAATATTTTGCTGCCTTTTTTAAAAAAGATTTATTTATTTATTTGAAAAGCAGAGTTACAGAGGGGCAGTGGCAGAGAGAGAGAGAGAGAGATCTTCTATCCATTGGTTCACTCCCTAGATGGCCTTATCGGCCAGAGCAGGGCTGATCCGAATCCAGGATCTAGGAGCTTCTTTAGTCTTCCATGTGGGTGCAAGGGCCCAAGGACTTGGACCATCTTCCACTGCCTCCTCAGGTGCATCAGCAGGGAGCTGGATCAGAAGTGGAGCATATATGGGATGCTGCCATTGCAGGCAGTGGCTTTACCTGCTTTACCACAGCACTAGCCCCAAGAATAGATTTTAAGTGTTAAAAACTGAAAAATGTTTACTTAACTTTTTAGAATGCTTTGCTTATACCTAATTTGACAGAAAATTTTTCTAGCTGTTTTCATTTATTTAGTGCTTAAAAGTCAGTGGGGCTGGCATTATGGCACAGTGGGGAAAGCTGCTGCCTATGATGCTGGCATCCCATATGGGTGCCATCTGTGTCTTGGCTGCTCCACTTCCAATCCAGCTCCCTGCTAATGGCCTAGCAAAAGCAGCAGAAGATGGTCCAAATACTTAGGCCCCTGCAACCCACATGGGAGACCATGAAAATGTTCCTGGCTCCTGGCTTCAGCCTGGCCCATTGCAGCCATCTGTTGAGTAAACCAGCAAGTGGAAGATCTGTCTTTCTCTCTCCTTCCCTCTCTGCAGCTCTTACTTTTAAATAAATAATTTTTTTAAAAAAGGCAGTTCTTCTTTTGTAGCAATAATTTTTTTAACTTTTATTTAATAAATATAAATTTACAAAGCTTATGGATTACAATGGCTTCCCCACCCCCCATAACCTCCCTCCCACCCGCAACCTTCCCCTCTCCTGTACCCTCTCCCCTTCCATTCACATCAAGATTCATTTTCAGTTGTCTTTATATACAGAAGATCAATTCAGCATATATTAAGTAAAGATTTCAATAGTTTGTACCCACACAGAAACACAAAGTGTAAAATACTGTTTGAGTACTAGTTATAGCATTAAATCATGATGTACAGCACATTAAGGACAGAGATCCTACATGAGGAGTAAGTGCAACAACTCCTGTTGTTGACTTAACAAATTGACACTCTTGTTTATGGTGTCAGTAATCCCCCTAGGCTCTTGTCATGAGTTGCCAAGGCTATGGAAGCCTTTTGAGTTCGCTGACTCTGATCTTATTTAGACAAGGCCATAGTCAAAGTGGAAGTTCTCTCCTCCCTTCAGAGAAAGGTACTTCCTTCTTTGATGGCCTGTTCTTTCCGCTGGGATCTCACTCACAGAGATCTTGCATTTAGCTTTTTTTGTTTGTTTGTTTGTTTTTTTTTGCCAGAGTGTCTTGTCTTTCCATGCCTGAAATACTCTCATGGGCATTTTAGCCAGATCTGAATGCCTTAAGGGCTGATTCTGAGGCCAGAGTGCTGTTTAGGACATCTGCCATTCTATGAGTCTTGTAGCAGTAATTTTTAAAAATTTTTTTATTTGTTTATTTGAAAGAGTTACAGAGGGCCGGCGCCATGGCTCACTAGGCTAATCTTCCACCTGCGGCACTGGCACTTCAGGTTCTAGTCCCGTTTGGGGCGTGGGTTCTGTCCCGGTTGCCCCTCTTCCAGTCCAGCCTCTCTGCCGTGGCCCGGGAATGCAGTGGAGGATGGCCCAAGTGCTTGGGTCCTGCACCCGCGTGAGGGACCAAGAGGAAGCACCTGGCTCCTGGCTTCGCATTGGCCCAGCGCCCCGGCCATAGTGGCCATTTGGGGGCTGAACCAATGGAAGGAAGACCTTTCTCTCTCTCTCTCTCTCTCTCTCTCTCTCTCTCTCTCTCTCTCTCTCACTATCTAACTCTGCCAGTGAAAAAACAAAAACAAAACAAAAAAAAGAGTCACAGAGAGACAGAGATCTTCCATCGGCTTGTTCACTCTCCAGTTGGCTGCAATGGCCGAAGCTGTACCAATCCGAAGCCAGGAGCTTCTTCCTGTCTCTCACATGGATGCAGAGGCCCAAGGACCCGGACCATCTTCTGCTACTTTCCCAGGCTATAGCAGAGAGCTGGATTAGAAGTGGAGCAGCCAGGACTTGAACCAGCGCCCATATGGGATGCTGGCACTGCAGGCAGTGGCTTTACCCACTACACCACAGCACTGGCTCCTGTAGCACTAATTTTTAAAATGCATACTTTTTATTTATATGGTTAAATCATGTAATTAATTTAAATTCAAAGTTTGAATCTAAGCATTAGCCATGCCCAAGAAATACTTTAGGTACCAGGGGTGTAACAGTAGCTGATACTGCCAGAGTTCCTGATCTGAAGTGGAATACAATACAGTTAAGCTGGAATAAGATGACCACAGTCACAGGGAAGAAGCGGAGAGTTGGAAAGTTGATCAATGGAAAGTTTACCATGTTTTGAAGTTTTCTGAGACGTTATTCTAGTATGTTATTTTTATATAACATGGAATTTTCTTTTTTTGGGGGGGAGGTTTTATTTATTTGAAGGCAGAGAGGGAGAGAGGTCTTCCATCGGCTGGTTTATTCCCCAGATGTCTGCAATGGCTGGAGCTGGGCCCATCCGAAGCCAGGAGCCTGGAGCTTCTTCCAGGTCTCCCATGTGAGTGCAGGGGCCCAAGGACTTGGGCCATCCTCTGCTGCTTTCCCAGGCTATAACGGAGAGCTGGATCAGAAGAGGAGCGCAGCCAGGACTAGAACTGGCGCCCGTATGGGAAGGTGGCACTGCAGGTGACAGCTTTACCCACCAAGCCACCGTGCAGGCCCCCATGATGGGGTTTCCTAAGCCACATCTGAAGATCTTTTTCTTCTAATAGCTGAGTTTAACCCAGCTGTGTCTCTTGGAACCTATATTCCAGTTATGTTTGCTGTTGCCATCAATTTCCTTTTTATTATACGGCATGTTTTCTTCCTCCTTTTACTACTCCCTTTCTAGATAGACTTTAGTATTCTTTGTTTTTTAACCAAGGAAATGGCAAATAGTGTACTCACAGATTGAGAAACACTGGGGCAGAATCTAAGAAACTGAAATGGAATAATAGCACAAACTGGTAAATGCTTAGTGTTAATGCACCCTTTGGTGCAGAGATGTTTACAGTAATATTAACTTGTCATCTTGCTAACTTTCTGTGGGATGCTTTGTTTTACATTAAAAGCCTTTTTCTTTGTTATTTTATACTTTTTGTTTTGCATTTTTTAAACAAATTCCTTTTTGTGCTTTTAAGATTTATTTATTTATTTGAAAGTCAGAGTTACACAGAGAGAGGAAGAGACAGAGAGAGAGAGAGAGAAAACCATCCACTGGTTCACTCCCCAAATGGCTGCAATAGCTGAGGCTAGGCCAGGCCAAAGCCAGGAGTCAGGAGTTTCTTCGAACTCCTATGTGGGTGTGAAGCCCAAGCCTTTGGGCCATCTTCAACTGTTTTCTCAAGCACATTAGCAGGGAGAACTGGAAGTGGAGAAGCTGAGTCTCAAACCAGCGCCCATATGGGATGCTAGCATCACAAGTGGGGACTTTATCCACTGTCCCACAACACTGGTCCCCAAGAATTCTTTTTATTTTATGCTGCCTTCAAATTGTGGTCTGTGGTGCCTTTTAATAATAATGCTATAAAGCATTATCTGCCAGGGGCTGGCGCTGTGATGTAGCAGGTAGGGCTGCCGCCTGCAGTACTGGCATCCCATGTGGGCGCTGGTTTGAGTCCTGGCTGCTCCACTTTTGATCCAGTTCTCTGCCGTGGCCTGGGAAAGCAGTGGAGGATTGTCCAGGTCCTTGGGCCCCTGCACCTGCATGGGAGACCTGGAGGAGGTTCCTGGCTTCTGGCTTTGGATCGGCACAGCTGTGGCTGTTGTGGCCGATTGGGGAGTGAGCCCGCCGGTGGAAGACCTCTCTCTTTCTGCCTCTCCTCTTTCTGTAACTCTGACTTTCAGATAAATAAATAAATCTTAAAAAAAATAAAACATTATTTGCCAATTTCACTGTATTAACATTTTTATTGATAGCACAAAGCAATGGTGGGTATATTCCTGATGCAAAGCTGTAACAGTGGTAAACTCTAATACTGTGTTTTCTACTGGTGGGTACTTTAGTACAAAAGAACATTCCAGTTACATTAAAGCGTGCTGCCGATGAAGCTGTAATGACAGTTTTAGTTCTTGCCCTAAGTATACATCTTTGTAAAATCTTCATCATGAAATGGGTGTTTTTAGAAAGCACACACTGAAGAAGGAAGGGTACCTGGGAGGATGCCCTTGTTGCTGTGGCTTGAGATGCACCTTTTCTCCCGAACCCACTTCTACCCAGGACAGTTGACAGACACATTATGGCTATTGAACATAGGTGTAGTAGTAGTAGGAATTTTCCTGTGAATGATTTTCCTATGAATGATGATAATGAGCTTGTCACTTTAGTGAAAACAACTGGTCACATTGGTTTTGCTAATGATAAAATTCTAGCTTTCAAGAAATGCTATAGTTGTGGAAAACTTGTATCTACCACTGTTGTATTTACTGCTTCCCAGTGTTAAAGGACTTTTCTCAATGAAATCAGTTGGGGATATTCACAGACTAATGTTGTGTAATGTAGTAAAAATAGAGGCTGTTACCAAAAACAGGCATACATAACAGATTCATTCAAAACGTAGGATTGGAGTGTTAGAGAACAATAACATTTCTCAGTGTAGTGTCAGATTTTACAGTGCACTCTCACTTTTTGAGAAACTCAAGGAGATGGGCGTTTGGCCCAGCAGTTAAGATGCTGCTTAGGATGCCCACATCTCACCCGGAGTTCCTGTATTTCAGACCCAGCTCTCCCGTGTGGCAGCAGGTTCTTGAATCCCTGCCCCCAGATGGGAAGCCTGGAGTGAATTTCTGGCTTCTGGCGTTAGCCTGGCCTGGCTCCACTTCTGTGGGCATTTTCAGGGAGCACATTAGCAGGAAGCTGGATTCAGGAATGGAGCTGGAACTTGAACCCAGGCCCTTCGGTAAGTGAAGTGGGTGTTCCAAATGACATGTTAACTGCTGCACCAAACACCTTCCCCATTGTCATTTTACAGTGCATTAAATGAAATATTTAAACATTTCAACTTCAGTGACTGGTAGGGTAGATTTCACTGGCTGTAACACACCTAAACAAAGCTTTTTGCAGTCTTCAGTATTGTTTAAGATAGCAAAGTGTGTTGAGATCAGAAAGTATGAGAACTGCTCGTTGAAGTGGTAGAACCACAAGCAGGGCAGTTTCAGAGAAAGAATGTGCTGTACAGAGTGGCCACGCTCATAGATGGGCTCTACATTTCCTAGTAGCAATGGTTTCCGTCCCTTGGAAATCCAGTAACATGAGGCTGACAGTCGAGCTGTTTTGTTCATTGAAGGTTAAATAGTTGCATGATGTCATGTTTTTAATTTTTTCATTAGATGGTATCATGAATGACAGGCGAAACTACCTCAAATCATTCCTTAGAAGAGAGGTGAACTTATTTGAAGATGCTATCTTCTCCCTCATCTGGATAAAGTGCTCTTTACTTTAAATGTCTGAAACTTTTTCCCTTAAACCTTTAAACACATTTTCAAGTGTGTGTCTAAGCCTAAAATTTTACAATTAGAAAAGCAGTAAATCTGATTCGGAACATTTACTTAGGCATGAGACAGATGGTAATTCTATAAAAAGATGGCATGTATTTTTGGAAGTGCAAACAGAAAAACAGATACTCTTAAAAATTCCAGGGTAATCTTTGCCTAGAAAATGTTGGGGAGAGATAAAATACCATATGGTCTAATAGACGTTTTATAGTTTGTAATATCTAGGATTGCATTTTGTTTCTTTAATATTAGTTCTGAGCTGTACATGGATTGATAGTTGAAAAAATAATACTTTTGAAGTAGACAATTGCCAGGTACTTTTACTGGGATTGCCAGTTTTTGTTTTGCAGGAAGCAAAACTATTTGAACCCCAAATTTGGTGGAGTTGATTGAGTTCTCGCCAGCTCAGAGTCAGTGACTGATTCTGCTCTCAGCGCATTGTATACATCTTTTGACTTGGGTGGAAGACATGGTGCTTAGACAGTGAGTTCATCTGTTTAGCAACTTAGTGTTTAAAGTAACTGGTACTCCAAATAAAAGTTTTTTTTTTTTTACAATTTCAATACTATAGTAACGGTAAGACTTTTGAAAATCATTTTTCTTTGACTCCTGTCTTGTATTACCATGGTATTACCAATGGGTTTGTCTTGCAGCTTATCCATTTATGTATCTGTCTCTCTCACTGGATTGAGACCCTATGTAATTTATGAATCCATATATTCCCACCCAGTGCTGAGCATGTTGCAAACCCCTAGTAAGTCCACACTGACTATGACCAAAGCTAGAGCTGTGATTTTCTGCCAAGACATGGAGCGGCACTAACCTGTTGGGGAAGTAGAATTTTTCCCAAGTTGATGGTCTTGGTGTGGCAGGATATGACCATAGAGGAATGAAACATTATTCGTAGTTTAGTCAAAATGTTTTTGTAAGGCAGTATTGCTATGATCAGCTAATGGGACTTGTAGGACCACATTTTTGTTCTATGACATAATGCAGAAAGACTATAGAATTGAAATCCTACCATTGCAACATGAGATAGTGTACTACAAAAGTTTAGAAAGTTTGTTTCTGGGTACAGAAGTAAAAATTTGATACGGAATATTGTAAAAAGAAGAAGAATGAAAAGCAGTGATTTTAGAAATACTCTTCCTAATCATAATCTTCATCTCCTTGCACATAGATCTGAGTTTAAAAAAGGAAGTTTTGTGCATGTCCTCTACACACGGATGGCTTTCAGCCTGCACACGCTGTGCTTCTAACCTCTGTGGCACTGGGAGGTGACTCAGAGGAGCCGTGTTCTCAAAGAACTCTCAAGCATAGAGGGATGTTTAAAGATGTTTAAGAGTGTTGAAGTGGCCTGGTTGGTGATGAATCAAGGGACTGTTACTCTGCCAGGTCTACGCAGAACTTCATTGTTGAGTGCTTTGCTGGGACACAGACGGGTGCACGTCAGAGGAGGGAAGCCATGAGAACTGATGATCAAGATAACTGTGCATTGGTAGAGTGGGAAGACATGAACCCTGGCCAGCTCATTAGGGATGGAACAAAAAAGCAAGGTGCAGAAAGGAAGGAAGGTCAGTGGAAGGCTCATTCTTCGCTTATTACCAAATCCTTGCCAGCTGCCCATTCTGTAGTAGGCACTCTGCTAGCTGAAATAGAAATCCCCGTTTTGTCAGAGTCGACTCTTGTTCACAGGTTGAAGGATTAACATAGAGTAAAATAAAACTTGTGAAAATATTTTAATGTGACTCTTTGTTTCTTTTCTTTTCTTTTTTTTTTTAGAAAATGGCTTCACAGTTTAAATGAAGCTGGAAAAATGCATCGATGCAGCATTGCAGCCTCTCCAAATGTTTGGGAATAATATTCCAGAGAGAAATTGATCCCCTTGGATTAGATAACTCGTCATAATGAAGAAAATTAGTCTCAAAACCTTTCGGAAGTCTTTCAACTTGAATAAAAGTAAAGAAGAATCTGAGTTCATGGTAGTACAACAGCCGTCCCTAGCCGGTGACTTTGGAAAAGATGATTCCTTGTTTGGTAGCTGCTATGGTAAAGAGATGGCCAGCTGTGATATCAACAGTGAAGACGAAAAAGGTGGGAAAAGCAGATCGAAAAGTGAAAGCCTGATGGGCACATTAAAAAGACGTCTTTCTGCCAAGCAGAAGCCCAAAGGCAAGGGCAGCGCGCCCACAGGGGGCTCTGCCGACGAGGACACCTTCTCCTCCTCCTCCGCACCCATCGTCTTCAAGGACGTGAGAGCTCAGAGGCCCATCAGGTCCACTTCCCTCCGCAGTCACCACTACAGCCCCACGCCTTGGCCTCTTCGGCCTACAAACTCTGAGGAGACGTGCATCAAAATGGAGGTGAGAGTCAAAGCGCTGGTCCACTCTTCCAGCCCAAGTCCGGCGCTGAATGGTGTTCGAAAGGATTTTCAGGACCTTCAGTCTGAAACCGTGTGCCAGGAGCAGAGTAACTCGCTGAAGGGTTCGGACTCTCCGAACGGGGACTTGCATCTTCACCTGGATGAACATGTGCCTGTAGTTATTGGACTTATGCCTCAGGACTACATTCAGTACACCGTGCCTTTAGACGAGGGGATGTATCCTCTGGAAGGATCACGCAGCTATTGCCTGGACAGTTCTTCCCCCATGGAAGTCTCTGCAGTTCCTCCTCCTGGGGGAGGGAGCTCTTTTCCTGAAGACGAAAATCAGGTAGACCAGGATCTGGTGGTTGCCCCGGAGATCTTTGTGGATCAGTCTGTGAGTGGCTTGTTGATCAGCACCACAGGAGTCATGTTGCAGAGCCCAAGAGCAGGTCATGATGATGTCCCTCCACTCTCACCATTGCTACCTCCAATGCAGAATAATCAAATCCAAAGGAGCTTCAGTGGACTCGCTGGCACAGATGCCCATGTGGCCGAGAGCGTGCGCTGTCATTTGAATTTTGATCCCAACTCCGCTCCTGGAGTTGCAAGAGTTTATGACTCAGTCCAGAGTAGTGGTCCCATGGTTGTGACAAGCCTTACAGAGGAACTGAAAAAACTTGCAAAACAAGGATGGTACTGGGGGCCAATCACCCGCTGGGAGGCCGAGGGGAAGCTAGCAAATGTGCCCGATGGTTCTTTTCTTGTTCGGGATAGTTCTGATGACCGTTATCTTTTAAGCTTGAGCTTTCGCTCCCATGGTAAAACACTTCACACTAGAATTGAGCACTCAAATGGTAGGTTTAGCTTTTATGAACAACCAGATGTGGAAGGACATACGTCTATAGTTGATCTAATTGAGCATTCAATCAGGGACTCTGAAAATGGAGCTTTTTGTTATTCAAGGTCTCGGTTGCCTGGGTCTGCTACTTACCCTGTCAGACTGACAAATCCAGTGTCACGGTTCATGCAGGTGCGTTCTTTGCAGTACCTGTGTCGTTTTGTTATACGTCAGTATACCAGAATAGACTTAATTCAGAAACTGCCTTTGCCCAACAAAATGAAGGATTATTTGCAGGAGAAGCACTACTGAGAGAATGAGAACCCTGCATCTTGCACTTTGGGAGTAAGAAAAAGAGATTGAAATACAGTTTACAAACCCATTGCCATCAGAATCTTTTGCTGCCATAACTGTTTTTTTTTTTTTTTAATTTTTTGTATGTATAACAGTCATCAGTTTGTTTAGGGGTGGGGAAGTGTTTGCAAGGTGTCCTGAATTTATTTTGGTTCTTTAAAAAGGGAAGTCTTGAGGTTGTAGAAGTATGAATTCTCTTTCATCAGTGTGCAGAATGATCACAATGTGAATTATAAGATCCTCTTTAACGACCCCCTCCCCAGTCCTTTGCTGCTATCCACTGTGATTTTTATGCATTAAAAGCACATTTCATGTGTATTCAGCCCTAAGTAAAGTAGAATGAAACTTATAGAATGAAAATTGCTGTCTTTTTAAGTGACCCATCTTCAAAAGATAGTACTAAGTAAACATACCTGTGTGATGAAACACAGAATTTACATATACACTGAAGACGATTTTTAAATCTCATACTTTGAAAGGATTTATTTGGAATTATGAGTTGACATAATCTTGGTAATGGAATGCAGATCTGCAACATATCTTTTATAACACTTTTCTAAATTATTTTAAGGTTGTGCTAATTTTTTCGGTTGTGAAAAGTTGAATTTTTCTGTTGCCTTCTTTCCCATCTTGTAATTTGTCTGTTTTAATAAATGGCCTTACATTAAAAAATTGTTAAGAAATGTATACCACCAGTTTAGAAATTGTTGCCTTTTCTATCATTAAACTCGGGTACAGATTGGCATCAGTTATAAAGACCTATGGATCTAGAACCATATTAAAGAAATATTAATGATCGTAGTTTCCTGTGATAGCTCTCTGGTGTTACATATACTTTCCTTTGGTAAGATGTTTTACCTATGACTTCTTCAGCTTAGCCACCACTTTCTTGGGTGAACTTGATTGTAAACTAATTTTTATAAATGGACTGAATTCCCATTCAACATTAAAGCTTATTCTATAAAGTTTTAAATTGATTTGGATGGAAAGAAAACCGTGTTTTAAAGTTGAATTTATATTTTTATTTTATATAGTCATTATTCAAATGTACTAGGTTTGACTACTCCTTCCCCCACTAAAAGCAGCCCTCAATGACTTTAGTTGAAAAATTGTGGAAATCGTGGAGTGTCATGTGAGAAAACTATTAAAACCATATCAGATATGCCTACCATATATCCTGCTATTTAAATTAGATTTCTTGTTTCTTTTTTAATTTAGCTAAATAATTTGGCCTCAGTAGTTATTTTATCTCTTTGAGTAATATGTTGGGGGAAATGGGGATGTTATACCCAATAATTTTTAGTTGTTTTGAAATGCAGAATGTTTATTCTTTTCACAGTTCTGCAACATAGTAATTTTAGAATTGCCCCTTCCAGGAAATGTTCCTAGCTACAGAGCTTTAAAGGAAGATATTTCTGTCTCAGATGTGAGATACGTAATTTGAGATGTTTCTTCCTTTTTCCTACTTCCTACTCCTTTAAACACAAGGGTAAGGGTCTTGGATCAAACTTACTAGGTGTCATTTGAACATATGTGTATCCTCAGTTGTTACTCTGTTTGTGTTTTAGAGTTAGAACTGAGATAATACCAAGAAAAGGCACATTGCCATAATATGGTGTTATGGTATTTTGACTAAAAAGGGGAAAAGGTACTTACTTTTGGTGGAATGTTGATTGTACCTTGTTACAATGACTCCTTTCATTTTCTGATGTTTTCACTTACCATGGGATATGGAGTATACTGTAATAATATAATTTAAGTGTTCACTATAAGCTATTTGGATTAAAACTATCAAACTAATGGAAGACATTTAAACTATTTTTTTGCAAAACTATTTATTTTTAAACAACTTAAAAAATATATCTAGGGTGAGTTAAAAGTCCCTGTGCATCTATATTAGATGGCGGGTATTGTTGCAGAGTCACTGTGTATGAATAATAAATGTTGAGCTGGCTTCTCCGTGTCTGCAGAAGCGTGTCCATGTCCTTCCGTGAGATCCCGGTGCACAGACGTCTTTGGACTGCCCTAACCCTGTCTCATGTGGACAGAGCCTATTCCCTTCATTTTCTCATGGTGCCATGTGTTTAAGATCTACCCATCTAGTCTCAAGATTATTCTGATTTTCATCTCAATGTTTTCAATATTGTATTTTGCCTTTTTTGAAGGGCAAGTCTTGATACCATTGTAATTCCAAAAGCCAATTTTTGATGTGCTTTTCTGCGTTTGTAAAATATTTGAAGTCATATGGCTTTTTCTGTTCCAATTTGAAATTGTGAGGTTCTGTTAGTACTTGGATAAAAATCAGAATATTTGCCAAGATGTGAAACAGAAAGGTATATTGCATTAGTTTTTTTTTTTTTTTTTTTAATGTAGAGAGAGATCCATTTGGCATAGGTAGCATAACATGATATAAAAGATTGTTGTATGTGATACTAGAACAGTCTGGCTAAGAGTGGAAGCAGAAGAAAGAGCGATAAATCTTCATCCTGTAGCTTGGATAAATTTTTGGACTCAGTTGAAAGGTAACTTAGGTCGAATAGACACAATCTGAGTGATTTCCAAATTGTGCTTCTAAAAATCTGAGCTCAAGGCGAGAAAAACACAACAAAGGAGTTGAATCTATTTGTTATAATGAATGAGTCAGCTTTTTTTTTTTTAATCAGCTATTTCGTCACAAAACATGATAGAGGCCTGGAGCTTATTTTCAGGCTTTTACACTATTATGTATTTTTATAAATAATAAGAAAGCTGTAGAAAGTACTTGAAAAATAATTTGCTCTTGCTCTTTCTGTCTAGCGAAAACTGGTCTCTTTCTACTTGGTGCAATAATCTGAAGATGTGGAAGGTCAAAAACATTATATCACAGGAAATGATCAAAGAACTAAAAATAGTTTTTAAGGAAACCAGCTACACAGGGCAACCATCTTGCTGTTGAAGAAAATCATGTGCCAAAAGCCTAAATCATTGGCAATAGGAAATTAAACAAGAATATTTTATGATTTCTGAGCCAGTGTTATTGAAACAGGATAAAAATCACTAAAATTTTAAATAGGTTTATGCAATGTCTCTGCTAGCACTACAAGTCTAAATATCTTTCTAACAGTGCTTTCAGAAATTCCAGTTTTAATTACTGTACATTTCACATTGTATATGAGATTGCTTTATGAATGATTCAAAAATAATATATTTTCATTTAAATCTTCATTGATTTTCATCAAATGTGAAGTCTTAATTTGAAAATGAAATCACACTGCCAGCATAGACAGTTTTGCTGAAATCACTAATAAGGAACAATAGCCAGTTCCGTAAGTAATTCTAAAATTCTAAAATTGTTGGTACGCTAGTAATTACACATTTGGTTTCTTTTTAATACTTTTTTAATCCTGCAAGGAGGTTTTTATAAATACCCTTTTTATTAATCGTAACATGGCCAAATGCATAGATGCTGTTTCTGAGAAGTGATTGAGACATCCAGAGATGATGACTAAAAATTTCTGCAGAATTTTATAAGTACACGTGTTGGGTTACAGATATTTCCTAGTCATTGGAGTGCCATGAAATTATACTTGCAATCCAGATTGCTGTAGTTTACACTTTTTCTGTATGTTTCAAATCAGGTGTGTACCATTTGTACTGAACACCACAGAATGAATTATCCAAAGTCCATTGATTTTAATACGTGTTTTGGTTTGTAAACAAATTATAGTAATTTCTTGCACATTTTTGGAAATTAATTGTATAAGAATTTATGTATCTACTTCTAGATACAGTGTGTAAATAAAAATTTCGTTCACAAGATCTTCTTGTAGTCTATTTAATGTCCTGATGCAGTGTCTGATTTTACTTAGCGTGTGGTTGGCCAGATAAGCTTCAGGATGTCCCCAGGAACTGGGCAGAACTGGAGGGTTGGAGCCAGTAACTTTCAGTAAAAAAGGATAAGTGAATTCATTCACTAATGGAAGAAAGCAAACCGACTGGAAGCCAACCAGTTGTGCTAATGTAAAGAAACTTTTGACACAGGACTGGAAGTAGGGGGATTATCTACTAAATAAATGAATGAATGAAGGATGATATGGTAGAGAAACCCCACTAAAAGAAAGGTAAGCCAAGGGATGAGATGTTTGGATTGTGACTTGTTTTTAAAAAGTGTCCTCAAGATGATTAAAGCACATCTGTGTAGAGGTTTTTTAGAAACCCTTTCATAGATGAGAAGAATTTCTAGTTACAGCCACTGAATTTTAATTGCTCTAAGTTCTTAAATTATCACATTGGGTTAAGCAATTGTTTTAGAATTTTATTCTATTTTTCCAACATCCTTTTTTCCTTTCATGGCTGACTCGGTGCTGCTGCTGTCCCAGGTGAATTAGGGAGCTGAATTGGAAGCAGAGCAGTTGGGACACGAACCCCGGGCCCATATGGGATGCCATTCACTTTGATTTGTAACTTAAATTTCTAGTTTTAGGAGTTAACCTAGCCAGAACTGTCATGTAAAAGAAGTTTGGGGGCTGGTGTTTGGCCAAGCTGATTGGGATGCTGCATCCCCTGTCAGAGTAGCGGGTTGAGTCCCTGCTCTGCTTTTGCTGATGCACACCCTGGGAGGCAGCAGGTAATGAGTAAGTAGTTGGCTCCCTGTGAGAGCTGCGTGGAGTTCCCTGCTGCCAGCATTTGTGAAGTGAGCCAGTGGCTGGGAGATTGATCTCACTGTATCTGTCTCCCCCTCACATACAAATCTTTAAGGAACAAAGGTATTTGATTCTTTCTCTTGTAGCATGACTCGCCTTGCTGTGAGGTGTAGAGATATTCTGGTACTTGTTGCTTTATGCCCTACCCCTCCCCTCTGGAACTTTCCCAGGGTGCTTTTCCCAGACCTTCCCAGCTCCACAGGGTCTGTCTCTTTTTATGGAGAGAGCAGGTTTGCTGTAGTGGGAGTATTGGTTTATGCCGTGTAAACAATTTAGTCTTAGAAATTCAGTTGTGAACCCCACTTAACAACCGTTGGATTTAAGGGGCTGTGTACTTTCTGCATGTTAGGATTTGGTTATGGGAGAAGACGAATCCAAGGATCTCTGGGAATGATGTTGGCAACCCATAGTGAGCCAGATTCCCAGGACTACTCTGCACCAAGCTGTGTTTTCCCCTGCTCTGTGCCAGGCTGACCACTTGAAGGTTCATAGGAAAGTCCTTCTAAAAGAGTCTCCCCTGGATTGTAAAAGCCAGGGAGAAGCAGTGTACAGCAGGGATTGTTGTAATAGGGTTTATGAATAGGGCCGGCTGCCTTGCCTAGAGGAATTTTGAGCTAGAAAGTCCTATCTCTCGTAACTTTTGCTTGCAAATAAGGTAAATCTTAAATAGAAAACGGCTTTTTGATCTTGAACTATGGATTTCCTCACATGAGAAAGTGTAAATCTGTTTTAAGGAGGCTTTTTTCTCATCTCCACCTTGGTCTAGCAGGGAGCCATCTGCAGCTCTGGCATTCCATAAGGGCACCAGTTTGACACCAGGCTGCTCTAGTTCCGATCCAGCTCCCTGCTAATGAGCCTGGGAAAGCAACAGCAAATGGCCCACATACTTTTTTTCCCTGCACCCAGGTTGCTGTAGGTGACATCTTAACCCCCTACGCCATTACACCTGCCCTCAATGTAACTTTTTCAAAAAATGTAGTCTAGCTTAGCTTGAGGTAAACATTTATGGAAATCAGGCTGGTAGCATAGCTGATGGGTTTTGTCTGCTGTTTTTCCTTTATGGCCTTGTAAAAAAATGTCTAAGACTAATATGGGGAACAAGACTTGGTGAGTTCAATCCAAAATAACTTGAAGTTGGATCTTATTTGGAGAAAGATTTTTTTTCCCACATGATTGGTTCATAGGGAACGGTGTTAATTCTGCTCTTTTGTTCATGTATTTATGGTCAATTGCCTGAAACATTCACTGCCCTATTTTATGAGGAGCCAAGGGTTTATTCTTTGTATAAAACCAAAGACTCCACCCCTTATCACTTTCTTGTACTCTGTTCAGCCGAAAGTCCCTGTCATTTTGTAATAAGCATACCTGTGGCAAACAGCTTTCAGAAACAGCTTTCAGAAACAGTTCTAGCTATATCCTGTGTTCGGCTTTGTCTGCACCTAAGTAGGTGGGAGAAGTAACCCCTTACGTTCATATGGCCTCTTGTTACGATAAATCTTTCAAATAAATAACATCTTTGAAAAAAAATCTAAGGGAAATTTCCTCTCCACTTCTATTCTGGGAAATAGAAATTTATATACATCATGTATAGACATTATGGTATATATCAAAGATGTGTTTATTTAAAAGGCAGAGTTAGAAAGTGCTTCCATTGCCCTGGTTCACCCCCTCCTATCCCCCCCCCCCCCCCCCGCCAACTCCCCACCCCGCACAAATGGCTGCAACAGCCAGGACTGAGCCAGGCCCAAACCAGGAGTCTGGAATTTCATCTGGGTCTCATCTGGGTGGCAGGGGCTCAAGTACTTGGGACACCTTCTGTTGCTTTCCCAGTTACATTAGCAGGGAGCTGGATCGGCAATAAGTAACTCAAATGCACTCATATGGGGTGTTGGTGGCACAGGCATTGGTGTAACCACCACAACACAGGCCCCAGAAATTTATACTGTACTCAGCTCAACATCGCTAGAAATGATCTCCTCACTATGCATCCTGGAATGAGTTGTCCCTACCATCTTGGGATTAGCTTGGAACATGACTGGGAATTAGGATGATTAAGGGTTAGAGTTAGGGTTAGGGTTAGGGTAACTAAATAGTGTTTAAGATACATTGTCATGTTTCTTGTAGTGCAAATCTACTGGCAAATGAATCTGCCTTGAGAAGTCCTTATATTTTTAGGGTTTATTTATTTGTTTGAAAGATTTACAGAGAGAGCTTCCATCTGCTGGTTCACTCTCCTGATGGCTGGAGCTAGGCCAGGCCGAAGCCAGGAGTCAGGAATTCATCTGGGTCTCCTATGTGGGTGGCAGGGACCCAAGTATATGGGCTGTCTTCCACTACTTTTCTCAGGCCATTAGCAGGGAGCTGGATGGGAAGAAGAGCAGATGGGATGGGAACCAATGCACATATGGGATGCTGTCATTGCAGATGGTAGCTTTACTCACTAAGTCATACACCAGCCCTGTTATTTTATGTTTTTAAAAGATACCTCTGGGGCCAGCACTGTGGTGCAGCAGGTTAAAGCCTGCAGTGCCAGCATCCCATATGGGCATCAGTTTGATTCTCTGCTGCTCCACTTCCAATCCAGCTCTCTGCTATGGCCTGGGAAAGCAGTAGAAGATGGTCCAAGTCCTTGGGTCCCTGTACCCACTTGGGAGACTCAGAAGAAGCTTCTGGCTTTGGATCAGCTCAGCTCCAGCCTTTGCAGTGACCTGGGTAGTGAACCAGTGGATGGAAAACCAACCTCTCTCTCTGGCTCTCCCTATCTCTATAACTCTGTCTTTCAAATCATAAATAAAATAAATCTTTTTTTTAAAGATACTCTCCAGGTTGAAATTCTTTTCGTTTTTAAGCATTTGAAGACATTCCATTTTTTTTCACTCCATTATTTCTGGTGAGAAATTAGCCGTCATTTGTATCGTCCCTCTGTAAATTCCATGTGATCCTCTCAACTGTAGAAACTTGGAAGATTTTTCTTCTTATTTTCTGATTGTGATGTGCCTGGGTGTGGGTCTCTTTGTATGTATCCTGCTTGAGGTATGTTGTGCTTTTTGGATATGTAAATTATGTGTGTTTTTTTTTCCTTTTTTCTCCACCAACTTTATGAAAGTTTTAATCATTATTTCTCAAATATTATATTTTTCTTGCTGCTCCCTCCCTGTAAGGCTCTAATATCATGTATATTAGACTGTTTAATATTTTCTTAAATATCACCAAGGCTCATCATTTTTGGGGAACCATTTTCCTCCCAGTTCTTCCCATCATATAATTTGCATTAACCTGGCCCCAAGTTCAATAACCCTCACATCTGCAGTGATGTGTTTTGATCGTTGAGTTTCCATTTCTGAGCTGAGATTTCCCATCTGGGTCCACTTCTCTTGTCTCCTTTTGCCCTGTTCTGTGGCTTGGCATCTGTTGTCCCTGTTTTTTGGCATTATTGGTCATTTTTGGTTGGATGCTAAACATTGTGGATGACAAAATTCAGAAGGTGTGGACTGTCACCACCCTCCTCCGAAGGGCGTTGCGTTCCTCCTGGGAGGCGCTCGCAACTGGCTGTCAGATGGCTGTGAGGCTTTGTTGTCAGCACTGTCTGATTGTTTTCCTGGTGGTTCTGGCTAGTCCTGCCTCAAAGCTGTGGTCACCCCGGGGGCTCATATTCAAGCTGGGATGTTGATCAAGATCACTCTCCTTGAATTCTACCATCTGTCTCCCTCGTACTTCATGGCTGCTAAAATCTGTTTTGCTCTATTTTTTAAAACTTTTTTTTTCTCCCAAGATTCTTGGGTCCAACTCTGTGTTTGAGAATTTAAAGAGTCAGACAGTGATCTGGGAAGAATTATATCAAGTTCTTTGGGTTCTTTGTGATCCTCTCCATTTCTGGGCTTTTGCTCCTTGAGCCCAAGATACTTTAATAGCTCTAAACTTTGATGGTTGTCTCTTGCCTTGGCAAGTCTGCCATTTTCAGCTTGGATCTTTTCCTGTGTGCTGACATTTGGGTAATGCCTTCAAGGCCAACAGCTGGTGGCATAAATACCGAGCTCACATCTTGTATTCTCCTGTCGTGAGCCTCAACCCCATCTAGTCTTGCCTGCCCGAGTTTTGCTCTCCAGTGCTTACTCC